TTGTTTGTAGGTGACCAAATACTTATTTTCCACCATAATTTGCAAATAAATTCTTTAAAAATCAGACAATGAGATTTTTTTGATTTTTTTTTTTTTTCTCATTTTGTGTCTCATAGTTGAGGTATACCTAGGATGCAAATTACAGGCCTCTCATCTTTTTAAGTGGGAGAACTTGCACAATTGGTGGCTGACTAAATACTTTTTTTCCCCACTGTATATACACATAGCTTATGGATGTCACAATACCAGAAATAACATTATAATTTACGTTTGCACAACACACAATTTCACAGAATACAGCATTTTGTCAATATGAGGGCAAACACTGACCAAATAGGTACATAATATTGCCTTTATCAGCCTCAGCTTTATTCATTTACAAATGTCTGCATGCTAACAAAATGCTATGATAGTAAATATTACAACTGGTATACATCAGTTTATTATTTGTCACTGTGTGAACAGCCTCACAGCATCACTACTGACTCAGCTGTACATTCTTAGTCATGGTCTTTGTGGATTTCAGCAGTTTTGTTCATATTGTTAATGGTAGTAGATGCAAAACTAATACACTTTTGTGCACTTGCATATATTTGTGTCTTCCTAGGCTGGTACACTTGCATTTGAAGTCAGTGTACAAGCAAACAGCCATGTAGTAACACACAGACACAGGAGATAGGTGATTCCACAAACGAGGGATCAGACCTGATTAACAGGGCCACAGTAGAGAGGGGGGGACACAGTGAGATGAAGGGTTAAGGGTAGAAGGCTGATGGTGTGTGTCTCGTCCCCCTGCAGTCTCCTCATCAGTATGTGTGAGAGTCCACTCCTCTCATCTCTATTCTAAGCAAATAAACTGCAAGCAGCCTTTTGCTCGCCAGCTTTGACCACACAGACACATCCAAACAAACACACATTTAAAAGCCTACCAGCAAACTCTTCCACTCTCCATGTTTGCTCCTCCACCTCCGTCTCTGACACACCCTGAGCTGTTTATATCCACCACTAAGTTTAAGTGTTGGAAGTTTTTTAACGTTTTCCCGGGAATTAATGCATGAAATAATCCATGGAGATAGGAAGAGGGAGGGAAAAGGCAGATTAGTTAAGGAGTAGGGGAATATAATTAGCCTGAGCAGCAGAAGGGGATTTGTGCTCCACCGGCTGCCCTCTGAAACCAGGCCCCCCCCCCCACCATCCTCCCCTCCTACCTTCATATCCTTCCTTGGAATCCTATGCTACTCTGAGCCGTCAATAGATGCACTTGCGACAGGGTATGCATCAGAGTGTGTGTTTGAGCAGAGCTGGGCCCATTCTCACCTACAGTGTTTGTTTTAGAGGTTGTGCAGACAGTGACTCAGCTCTTTCTCTCTGAGTTTCTTTTTTCTTTTTCTCGAGTCCCCAATGTGGCACTGCAGCAGAGACACCTTGTGTGTAGCTAATGCTGACATCTCCTCACAGGATGCATGTGAGAACATCTCGGCGTGATTCTGTGTGACCCGGCACGTTACAACAAAAGAAGGTTCTTCCCATGCCTGCACTTAGAGGCTGCGATTTGGAGTCTATTAGAGTGTGCAGCGGAGCTTTGCAGGTGCAGCGAGGAGTCTCTCTGGATGACAGAGTTTGTTTGAGTGTGTGAGACCAGCGGCCGGCTCTCATGTCTCTGCATGAGTTTCTGAGGGAGGGGGGTGAGGCATCGTACCGGATCGCAAACCGCCTCAGTCATCTGATCCAGAACCTGGACATCTCTGGAGTCGGATCTCCTTTCCCTTTCAACCCTGCCAGCCGCAGGAACTCCTGGAGAGACTGGGATGGTAAGATCGAGAGAGGAAGAGTGTGTTTCTGGGTGCAACTTCATAATGTTCAGAAGACTTAATGCCTATATGTGTGTGTTTGTGTGAAATGTATTCCTTAGTTAAGCTCTGGAGTTCTGCAGGGCATCACGCCCAGAGCCTCACACAGTGTTTCCTGTGGGCTTCCCTTGTTCCCCACTGGCCTGATTCTGTGTCTTTGTGCAGTTTGTGTCTGTGTGTGTCTGTGTGAGAGAGTGCGTGACTGAGCAGCTTAAACTGCCACTTCAGTTTCCAACATCCAAATCTCTGCAGCTGCGGTTATATTTATTTCCGTAGCAGCTACGGATTCTTCGGAAAATGCCGAAATTGCAACACACAGCAGCTTCCAAGCGCACGAGCTGGTGCAAAGGAGTGGGAACTGCTGATTACAGCTGCTAAGTTGGCTTCCTGTCAGCCCGATCGTTGCCACTTTGAGACCTTGGTTTTTTTCCACTGCTTAAAAAAGGACATTTGCAAGGTTTTACTAACACTCAAGGGGGAAAAGCATGGTGAGGAAGGCCAGGATGAGTGCTCCTCAATGGGATAGCGGGATGCCGATGGTCCCTCTTAAGCCACGTGAGTCGGGAGATGTATGGATGGTATTTCTTGTGGCTCTCGGTGTGGGTAGACTGCATGTGTATTTTTGTAAGTGCTTGAAAATCTGACCTTGTATCCGTCTGTGTAAGCTATTTTCCTATACCTTGCTGACACAATGTATGTGAAAGCCTCCTATATTTGTCCCCCAGTGGGGTTGTACATGCAGCCTATGTTTGTTTTGTCCCCTGGATGAAGGTCGCTACATGTTCAGATCTATAGCTGTGCCTGGCATTATGGATTATTTGTGTGTGTGTCTGCAGATATGAACATATGTGTACTTTTCTTATCTGCTTTGCTCGTCTGTACCTCTGGCTGCTTGGTTTCAGGCTCTGTGTCCATGTCTCCCAGCTCTGTTAAAGTCATTAGCCATGAGGATAATTCATTTAAGAGGAACTATGTTTTTGTGCTAAGCGTTTTTAGTTTTTGCAGGCTGAGGCTACCTTGAACTGATTGTGATACCGTAAGAAAATCTGTAAGAGAAGGAATCTTTTTTTAATGTAATAAGTATTTTCAGAATATGTTTTGTGTGTTTTCTTGCATTGTAGGTTAGGCACACAATGATATTGATCTGCAAGTTATTCTAAGTACAGCTGATTCTTTAGTTAGAAGTGATTTTAGAAGAAGCCCAAATGATGTTTTCGAAATAACCTAGGATGTCTCGAAAAACATTTCAGTCATTCAAGTGTTTGTTTTAAATGCAATTGTACCAATTTGTGGTCATTTTGCTTTGTTTAGACAGTTGGACTTCTCTCTGTTGCAATAGTGGGTTACGTTTAATTAACGATACAAAGGTAGAGAGTGTTGTAAGTTCTACAGAGAGTGACAAACTCGCTTTTAGGGGCTATATAAACAAAACTAGGACCAGGGGATACTATTTTTAGATATTAAAGGGGACCTATCATGCAAAATGCACTTTTGTACGTCTTTTTTACATGAATATGTGTCCCCGGTGTTCAAGGGAACTCACCAAGTGTCAGAAAACACAACCCTCTCTCTTTTCCTCCATACCCAAATCTCTATAAACGGGGCTGCAACGGATCTGATACAGACTGATCCAGATTTGAATTATTTTCTACGTAACAAAAGCAGGTAGGCCATCCAGTTATTTTAGCCAGGCCGGCTAATCAATGTTTATTTATATAGCCCAATATCACAAATGTTACATTTGTCTCAGTGGTC